TGTCCAATTTTGCTCCTTTCCTCTGTGATCCCACTGCATCTTGCCTCATTTCTACATAGATTGCATTGAAGGATGTTGATTAAGCACAATATCTACCAAGCTAAGACTTTTTTGAAGAGGCAGGCCAGCTTTACAAGGACATTTGCAGCACCTTTAACAAATACTGTTTACTTCCTAAGAATGTCCAGTAAGAGAATCTGGTAAAGTTTGCTTGCTACTGGATTTAGGTTTCCTGACCGTCCTGTTTCTGCCAGGAAGTGTCTCATGGTCTCTTGGCAGCAGTAGACTCTTTCCTTTGCAAATGTTGTAAAATGTTGGCCATATCAAAAATCAGTGCTAAAAACATTGGAGCCTGCTTCTTGTAACAAGCACATTTTCACCTCTTCATGAACAGTGAAATGTAAATGCAAAAGATGCTTGGGTCTCTAGAACAATAATGCAAGTTTTAGAATCTGTTTTAATTCTGATGCAACCATGTATATCGAGAGGATTTAAGAGGCGTCACCTTATTGTGCTTAAGAGTGGCCTTCACATCACTTGTTCTTAAATACGATATACCAGATGGTATTTAGGGTTTTTCCGTTTGCTGGACTTCGGCTTTTGTGAATTTTCTTGAGCTGTGTTCTCCTCCTGTCTTAAACTACGTGAGACTTGTTAGCATTCAAAAATAACATGCCCAGCACTTGCAGAAGAAATAAGGGTGATGATATAGTAGGTAACACTGTTAATCATAATGTATGGTGTGCTATATACCAGCTTTGTAACCTGACAGCCACAGGCACCAAAGTCTCTCTCAAACTAAATGAGATTACATTCTGTTGTTTTGTTTAATGGCCACAGTATGCAACTTCTAATGTGGTGGTAGATGCCTTCCACAGCATCATAGCACTATTTTGGCTAAGAGGCTGGGGCTCCAGCTGGGAGTGAAAGTATCTGCGTTTGTCCAGCAGCAACCTCGCTAGGACTGATACTTCCAACTAGAGGTGGGTCTTGCACCGGTCCAGACAGTGGCAGCAGCATTTTTGTTCAGGCAGCAGGGACAGTGTCAATTGAATTTGTGATTCATTAACATCTGATTCCTTTATAAACTTTTTATTCCACAGGTGTTAATAATCATCTCCTTTTTAATTGGAGTGGCTCCAGGGCCTCTCAGCCAATCAGTGGTGGGGAGACAAAAATGGCATCAAGTTTAAAACTGGAGTTTTTGGCTCCCTGCCAATCAGGAGTGAGCGGCAAGTCTGCAGGAACTGTATCTTGTCCCTGCAGATCTGCAGGAACTGTATCCTGTCCTCGATTCATCAGGGAAGCAAAACCATGGTTTTTAATATGGTGCTGTCTTTGCCTCTCTGCTGGTCAGCAGCAAGCTGCGGGGCTGCCGGCACCCCTCAGTCAATCAGTGGCGGGGAGACAAAAATGGCACCAAGTTTAAAACTACAGTTTTTGCCTCCCTGCCAGTCAGGGGCAAACCACTTGTGCAGCCCTTCTACCAATCGATGGGGAGGAGGAACCTGCAAAATTAATAGTGCTGCTGCAAATCCCACTTCTGCCGTGAATTTGGTAGGTCCCTATCTTTTCCTTTTTTCACCTTTTTTCTCTTCTCTTTTTCTTCTCCTCTCTATTGTTCTCTTTCTTCTTTCCTTTTTTCTTTCTCTTTTCTCTCTCCTTTTTTTTCTCCCCTCTTTTGTCTCCTCTTTTCTCTCTCTTTCTTTTTTGATTCTCTCTTCTCTTTCCTCCTCTCTTTTCTCTTCCCTCCTTTTTTCTTTTCTCTTTTTCTTTCCTGTCTTTTCATCTTCTCTCCTCTTTTTCCCTTCTCCTTTGTTCTATCTCTTTGTTTCTATTTTTTCTCCCTTTTGTTTCTCTTCTTTCCCTATCCCCTTGTTTTTCTCTTCTGTTTTCTGCTTTCTCTTTTTCTTTCTCTTTCTTTTTTGTTTCTCCTCTCTTTTTCTCTCCTCTTTTCTCTCTCTGATGTCCTTTTTCTCTGTCTTTTTTTCTTACCCCATATTCTCTCTCTCTCCTCTTTTTTTCTCTTCGTTTTCTCTTTCTTTTTTTCCTCTCTCTCTCATCCCAAAAAAGCAACATTTATAATTATTAACAATATTAATATGCAGTGTGTCCTGCCATGTACCCTTCCATCCCAGTTTTGTTTTTCTGGCATGCCAGCAATCTGGCACCTTACAAAGTAGACATTATGGGTTTCTCGGCACTCTGGCCAAAAATGCTGCCTACCCCTGCTCTAGAGCAGTGGCACCCAACTCCTCTGGCCTCACAAGTTGGATGAGAGGTGTGCAGCCAGTCCATGGAGTTGGTCTAATTAGGCTGGCCATACATGCTGGATCATGGATGGACCAGTCCCCAGACTGCTTAGCAGGACAGCTCTGTGGCCAGGTGTGGGGCACAGCTGGTTGCTGCTGTGCCAGTTTGGTGGTGCGGTCAGCTGTTGCTGTGGCAGAGGCTGCTTGTGCAACTGTGACAAAGGCAGCACCTAGGGCTTTTCTGGATCTTTGAAGAGCCCCAACAGTCTGGATGGCATGGCTCCACAGACAGGATCCAGCCTGTGAATCCAGGTTGAATACCATCATATGAGCACCACTGTAGCACTGAATCATCAGTCGGGCACCACCCCTCTAAAGCAGCAGTTGCCAGTCCTTTTGAGTTGTGACCAGAGACATCGCAGGGCAGCTTGATGTACAGGGCAATGCTAGCTGTTGTGGTGTCCATGGCAATACTGCTCTAAAACATGGCATTCATCATATTCATATAATAAGCAGTATATATGTAGAGTTAAATACTAAGCATGGGGCAGTGTAACAATATGAATGGCTTTACATTTTCATGACAAATATTGCAAGTCTATCTAGACTTAAGCCAAGTACAAAACTCCAGAATTGCATTTATAGATGCAATATTAATATTAAGCATTTTATGTCAGCTTAGGTCTTTGTATTTTTCAAAATGCTTTTAGTATATAATACACAATAGCAGGTGTACTTTTATGAATTGTAGATTGTATGTTATATGAGAATACATGCTTTAAATTGCTTTACCAAAGCTGCATGTTTCCTAGTTCTGTTCATATCTGGCATTTATTTTTTGTTGGTGGTGGTGAATGCCTCTTTATGAAGTTGCATAAAATACAGAAGTGCCCTTTTAATGTATTATTTAGACTCTGTTCTTCTGCTGTATTACATACTTCTTGTTTAGGTTTTTGAAAATGGATTCCAAATTTGTTTACAGAGTGCTTTGTTCTCTAAACTGGGAAATACATATACATGTGACACTAACATATGATGTAACTGCCTGAAAATGAAAACCAGTCAAGAAAACTGAACTTAATTCATACCTCCTGGTTTTCTTCACAATAAACACTGGCACTTGACAAGAGAGCACTTTTGGGCTCAGAACTCAGGCCAGTGTTTTAGGTTCTTGGATGTTACAAGTACCACTAAAAGCCAAAGTCAGTTCAGGGATGATACTAATTTTTAATCTGTTCTTAACTCCAAAATATTTGCACCCTGATTGATTGTTTTCCAAATGTCTGTAAATCTGCTTTTCAGAAAACACTTAAGTATTCAGAGGAACAATTCTGAGCTATTCATTGGCACTTATGTTTTAAATGTCTATAATCAGTGTATTTTTTATAAGGTTTTTGGGAGGGGTTTCCCACTTCGTAGAAAGGAAATGTAAAATCATGTTTTTGGATATAACATGCTATACAATCCTAAGCACAAAACTAGTTGTAATAGCAAACTGATATAATATTGTATTGCATTACATATAATATTGTATCACATTGTGGTTTGCAAATTTACATTTATCGCTTAAGTAGAACATTCTTAATAGTAGAAGAGTGAAATGTTTAATTAAATGTTCTACTTGCTGAAAAAAGCAGAATTTGATTTACTAAAATTGCCAGTGATTTTTTTTAAACTTATTAAATTGGTTTCACTAATCCACTCTCTCAAATCCACAACAACCCCTGAAAAGCATACAGTGGCTGCTTTTTTATTTTGCAACATGGTTGTGTTCCTAAATTTGCTGAAACAGTTTAAATAAAGAGTGAAACTCTCTTTCCCCCCCCCCATATGAAACTGTGTTCAGTTTAACCCGCCAAATACCCCCTTCCCCCCGCTCCTGCTCACAGTTTGGTTAGAAAAACAAAAGTTAATTATTTGCATAGTTCTGTGGAGAACACCAATATTTTCTAAACTGGGGACTAAAAGAATGATTATATGGAATGTTGTGGTGGAAGGTCATTTCCATTTCTTATTCATGTCCATTCACTAATACATTTATTTAAATTTTTAAGAAATCTGTATTTGACTTTACTTGCTTTTAAGAAGCTTTAGAGTAGTTCTTACGGAAAACTATTACTATATTCTAGTACAGGGGAGGGAGCACGCAGCACAATGGCAGATAGGGCAGGGAGCAGAAAGCAGAGCATTAGAGTAGGCAGGCAGGAAGCTGGAAGCAGAACCACAGGTTGGGTTGGGGAGAAGGATAGGAGTGGAACTTGGTAGATGTGGGGCTAATTTGTGGCACACCTGCCTAGAAATTTGCCCCCCATTGTACTAGTATATTACTTCCATCTGGACCTGAAGAATAGCTCATATATAGTTGTGGTTGTCAACCTTTTTATACCAGGACCCATTTATAAACATTGATGGCCAGTCCCAACCCTGTACCCCTCACTACCGACCTACTGCCCCCAGCCCCTGCAGTGTGTGAGGTGGGTGTGCGGAGTAGAGGGGGTTATGTGTGTGGGGCATGGGGGGCCCCTAGCAGCCTCTTGCCGGCTGGAACTCTAGCAGCCTGCAAGGGAAAAGCCACGGTTTCCCATGTTTTTCTCCTTTAAACGAAAATCCATTTTTAAAATTTGTTGATCTATTTTAAAGTTTGTTCACAGCCCTTCCATAAATTCGTGACCCACAGGTTGAAAAACACTAATATATAGTCTTCATGATATTTGCTATATTCTAAATTGGTTATTTTTAACTTTCCAGATTCGCTTTGTCAGATGAAGCATACAGATCCTTGAGGGACCAAGATAAGGACCAGTGCATTCTTATTACAGGGGAAAGTGGAGCTGGGAAAACAGGTAATATGTTACTTGGTGTTCAAAAAATGAAAGGAGAAGATCTAGCAGCTGTGTAGGTTTACTGTCTTTGCATTTGCTTAGTGTTGTAAACTAGTTCCTTTATGGTATTTGCTGCTTCAGATGTGATATTGCTGTATATTCCTGTCATGATATCAGGTCTTATATAGTGATACGAACTCCTCCTTTTTTGGTGTTATGTTGAAAGAGAATATTGCAAATGTCAGAATAAACTGAGGATGCACACTGAAGAAAAAACCAGAAATGAAACTCTCTTGCTTTGGGATGTTGCAGCCCTTGCATGCATTTGCAAAAGTCTTTCAAATACCGGTATTTTAATACACACACACACACACACACACACACAAGCTATTTGGCCACAAATGGCCCACCATCCACCCATGCAGACACATGCACATCTAGCTTCACAAATCATCCAGCTACTAACCGCCTCATCAACCATGCTTTCCTTCCCTCCCTCCCTCGCTCTCCTCTCTCACACACCCCCTCTCACACAAACCAGCCAATACTTCCTTTGCCACCCACCCCTACTCACACATGCAATCAGACCTACACATCCAGCTTAAGCGCCTCGCCACCCACTCTCCCACAAACCCACCCCCTGCCTGCCCACACAGTCACATGCAGCCTCTTTCACAAGCCGCATCCTTCAGAGGGCAGCA